TTACTGAATCTATAAATAAAACTCTGTACAAGCAAGGCAATTCAGTTAATAAAAATCTCGTCCTAAAAATGGCAAAATCAAGAGTAAAAATATAATAGTAGTGGACTCCACCAATGAGAAGAACCATCAGGTGTTTCGAAAATAGTAAGCATGGCCTGCTTCGCCACTACTATGTATATCTGGTCTCTGGTAGTTATTATTGACAGAGATCAGTTTGAAACTAACTGACTTATCTGATCTCTGATAGTTATTATAGAATTATCTCCTCTTAATAAGATACCATTATGACTTTCAATAGAGTTATCTTCAATAGAGTTATCTTCCTTTAATAAAATACCTTTATGATTTTCAATAGAATTATCTTCCATTAATAAATTACCTTTATGATTTTCAATAGAGTTATCTTCCTTTAATAAAATACATATGATTTTAAATAGAATTATCTTTCCATAATAAGATACCTTTATGATTTTCAATAGAATCATCTTCCCTTAATAAAATACCATTATGATTTTAAATAGAGTTATCTTTCCTTAATAAAATATCTTTATGATTTTAAATAGAATTATCCTCCCTTAATAAATTACCTTTATGATTTTTTATAGAATAATCTTCCCTTAATGAAATACCTTCATAACTTTCAATAGAATTATCTTCCCTTAATAAAATACCTTTAAGATTTTTTATAGAATTATCTTTCCTTAATAAAATACCTTTATGACTTTCAATAGAATTATCTTTCCTTAATAAAATATCTTTATGATTTTAAATAGAATTATCTTCCCTTAATAAAATACCTTCATGACTTTCAATAGAATTATCTTCCCTTAATAAAATACCTTTATGACTTTCAATAGAATTATCTTTCCTTAATAAAATATCTTTATGATTTTAAATAGAATTAACCTCCCTTAATAAATTACCTTTAAGATTTTTTATAGAATTATCTTCCCTTAATAAAATACCTTTAAGATTTTTTTTATAGAATTACCTTCCCTTAATAAAATACCTTCATGACTTTAAATAGAATTATCTTCCCTTAATAAAATACCATTATGATTTTCAATAGAATTATCTTTCCTTAATAAAATACCATTATGATTTTCAATAGAATTATCTTCCCTTAATAAAATACCTTCATGACTTTCAATAGAATATCT